TGGCGGCGCCGGCGGGGTCCTGCGCGCCCCGCCCGGGACGCGTGCGCAGCGGCCGAGCGCGGGCCGCGCCTGCGGCCAGCACCACGGACGGCTACCGGCGGGCTCGCGGCGCCGAAAGGGGGCAAAGGGGACAATGGGTGGGTGTGGGCCACGCTGGAGAACGGGTGTACCGATGCAGAAGCGGAATGGAAACCAGGAGAGGGAATGGGAAGATTGCTATGTCGGCTTACCGAGACCCGACGCTGGTACCAGGAGCTATACCTGTGCGGGCCTCACATAGGGTGGTTCCCAGGTCCCCAGTTGCCCCACTGGCGTTAAGGAAAGGAGACTAGGAGAGAGGGATTCACAGGGACGGATCCAAGATGCCCATAATGAGGGGTGGGAGTGAGGTTTGCACTCCGGACTGGAATGACTCTTTTTCGGGGGTCCTGGAGTGCACCAAGGTTACGGGAAATGGGCCGGAGAGGGGAGGATCTGGGGTCGAGGAAATGGCACAGGGGTCGTCCACGGAGAGATGGGTGCCGAGAGGACAGAGTGGGTCTGTTAGCTGTTTGTGCTTCTCCAGCACAGCACCCTCGGAAGGGACATCTCTCACACTGCCTGACACAAGCAGAGCCCTGAGTTGGAATTTGTAAGATAAATAATGGATGCCCCAGGCACCTCATTAAGACAGCCTTTCCCGAGATGGAATCTGCTGATGCACTAATTAATGGAATTAATGCCTTTTCTAGTTCCCTTTAAGACTAAGTCACATTTAGTCCAATTCCCAGAGTGAGGAAGCCTCCTTCCAAAAGAAACTGCCAAGTGGTTTAAAATTACATCAGCTTTTTTGTTGCAAGCGCTAAAAAAGCCTTTTTGTTTTATTGCCAAAGTAATATATGCTCATTTTGAGAGTCAAGCCACATAGATATTATGTATAAAATAAAAAGACAATGTCTCCTTCTTGCCCGCCCCACCCTCATCCGGCCACATGACTGGGGTGACCACTCTTCACAGTCTGACTTCTACTTTTCTAGACATTTTGCTAAGCACATAAACACCCACAATTTACACGAGTGTTTCATACTATACACACCATTCTGCAGGTTGATTCCCTCATTCGGCAGATATGTCATGGACACTATTCCCTGCCCACACATAGAGATCTACTTTGTTCTTCTTAATAACTGTGTAAAAGTCCATAATCATGAAGATTCCACAATTTGCATAACTGTCCGTCTTTGGGTAGCTGGTTAATGTCGTCCATTTTTGCTAGTTCAAATACTGTTGAGTGAGCTTCCTTGTACACACATGCTTGCGCACTTGTACAGGTACTTCTCCTAAAAGAGAAATTCTTAGGAGAGGAACTGCTGGGTCATGACGTATGCACATTTTTTTTTTTTTTTTTTTTTTTTTTTTTGCGATATGTGGGCCTCTCACTGTCGTGGCCTCTCCCATTGCCGGATGCGCGAGCTCAGCGCCCATGGCTCACGGGCCCAGCCGCTCCGCGGCATGTGGGATCCTCCCGAACCGGGGCACGAACCCGTATCCCCTGCATCGGCAGGCGGACTCTCAACCACTGCGCCACCAGGGAGGCCCACGTATGCACATTTAAGAGTTAACAGAAATTGCCGAACTGGTCTCTTAAAATGTTGTGCCAACTTACCTTCTCATCCATGCTGCAGACACCCTCTCTCAAACTGAGAAAATCAGTTGTATTTAAATTCTATCAGTCTTCATTGATGTGTAACCTTGGGTTTCCCTTATCATTGTGAGGTTGAGCATCTTTTCCTATGCTGGTACTATGTGTAATTTGTCTTCTGTGCATTGCACGTGCACTTTGCAGTCACTTTAAAGCACACATCGAAGACCAGCCGTGGGTCTGGGACAGCAACCCTTCCCTTGGAGAATACACATGGGGTTTCTGCTACCGTTGAGTTCCCCAATTCGACCAAAGGGAGCCTGCTCAGGAAATTCAGTGCCCCACCCCCAACTTGGACAAGAGTTGAAATCCCATCCAATCATTATCCAGTGGACTAATTTGAACACATCTGGGGGTCTTACACTTTAAGGGTTAGGCCAAAACAAAAGAGACCATGACAATTGAGAGGCAAGTGGCCCAAAGGGAGAACTACAGAATAAATTGGAAAGATTATTAAATACCTACCATTTTTTAAGAGATCTTTATTGGACTATAATTGCTTCACAATACCGTGTTAGTTTCTGTTGCACAACAAAGTGAATCAGCCATAGGCATACACGTGTCCCCATATCCCCTCCCTCTTGAGCCTCCCTCCCACCCTCCCTATCCCACCCCTCTAGGTCATCGCAGAGCACCGAGCGAATCTCCCTGTGCTATGCGGCTGCTTCCCACCAGCCACCTATTTTACATTCAGTAGCGTATATACGTCGATGCCACTCTCACTTCGCCCCAGTTTCACCCTCCCACCCCATGTCCTCAAGTCCATTCTCTATGTCTACATCTTTAGTCCTGCCCTGCAACTAGGTTCATCAGTACCACTTTTTTTTTTAAGTTTCTATATATATGTGTTAGCATATGGTATTTGTTTTTCTCTTTCTGACTTACTTCACTCTGTATGATGGACTCTATGTCCATCCACCTCACTACAAATAACTCAGTTTTGTTTCTTTTTATGGCTGAGTAATATTCCATTGTATATATGTGCCACATCTTCTTTATCCATTCATCTGTTGATGGACACTTAGGTTGCTTCCATGTCCTGGCTATTGTAAATAGAGCTGCAGTGAACATTTTGGTACATGACTCTTTTTGAATTATGGTTTTCTCAGGGTATATGCCCAGTAGCGGGATTGCTGGGTCGCATGGTAGTTCTATTTTTAGTTGTTAAAGGAACCTCCATACTGTTCTCCATAGTGGTTGTACCCGTTCACATTCCCACCAACAGTGTTGGAGGGTTCCCTTTTCACTACACCCTTTCCAGCATTTATTGTTTCTAGCTTTTTTGATAATGGCCATTCTGACTGGCGTGAGGTGATACCTCATTGTAGTTCTCTAATAATTAGTGATGTTGAGCATCTTTTCATGTGCCTCTTGGCCATCTGTATGCCTTCCTTGGTGAAATGTCTATTTAGGTCTTCCATCCTTTTTTTTTTTTT